TAAACCTGCTTATTTGTAAAGGTTTAAAGTTTGGTGCAACAGAATTATTAGATAAACCTTGATTTAATCTAGATTTAAAATGAATCATTGCAAACCATTTAGCTATAATTTGAAGAAGAAAAAAATGCACATTAAGCCTAATGTCTGAAGTGGGCAAGCGGCAATAGGCCTAATGATCATTTAAAATATCATTTAAAGAAGTGTTTCTTTCACAAAATGAGTATTGTATATATAACTATAAAATATAGGCTACTCAATTTGTCTCCCTCTTCACCAGGCACTCATGTCACTTCCATTTCTTTCAGGATAAATGAATGAATTCACGTGTTGTAAACCAGTCTGTAGGCCTATAGCGCACATAGCCCCTAAATGTAGTGATCAACTATGCATATTATAAACTTAACATTTAACATACAACATTTATTTCAAATTAAATTATTTTGTCTTTGTTACTCTTAGTTATAAAGGATGGTAGCACAGCATTTTTGAATGATTGTCTTCATTGCCTGCATCCAAATTGCATGTTTCCTCTCACTTGTAAAGTATGCTAGCAGTTATTTCTTCTAGTTCTTTCAAAGCAGTTCTTTCTGCGTTTCCGCTCACATATTTTTACATGTTTCATTGGCCTCAATATAACACCTAGAAGCATATATTCTTATGCACACATGCAAATTATGTTGCAGCTGTTATTTCTATGAAATGATGTGGTCTTTGCTATTCTGTTACTAATAAAATATTAATTTTTTTTCACTGCTTGTCCTATTTTGGCACAATCCTTAAATTGAACTTGAGTAGTTTTACTAAGGGCACCCATCTCACATGAAATTGAACTATGTCAAACATATTCTACCTACCTTCCTGATATAAATTACTATAAATTTGATATGGTAATTAATACTGAGACACTCATTTGGGCAAAGAGCACTAATGACTTGTTTAAGACTTGAAGCTAAAAGTTGAGGACTTGCAACTCGACTTGGACTTGTCTGTCTTGACTCGGGACTCGACTTGGACTTGTCTGTCTTGACTCGGGACTCGACTTGGACTTGTCTGTCTTGACTCGGGACTTGGACTCGGGACTTGACTGCAAAGACTCGAGACTTACTTGTGACTTGCAAAACAATGACTTGGTCCCACCTCTGGTAGTAACCACACTAAAATTTTAACATTTTAATTGCTGCCTAATTTGTTTTATAAATGTATCACTTTGAATGTGTGTAGTTATGAAGAAATTCAACTTGAAAATCAAGAATTAAGTAAAAATGACAGTAGTTATGACAATCTATGACACTAGTTCAATTAATATTTTCTGAACTGAATTAAGTTGAACTGAAAACATCTGTAGTCCACATATTTACAACGATGCATCTAGATATTAACTTTAATACATAAAACATAAGGCCCATGTCTTGGGTTTTGAATTGATCACGATCGTAGCTGTAGATATCGCTTCATTTCGGCGGAAACTGTGGTAAAACAGACACGCGGATTACTCACATGGAGTGCTGGAGTTCATTCCCACGGCCGGTGAATGATTATTCTCCGCTGTCGCCTGCCGTTATCCACACTTTAAGGCAAGTTGTAGGTCCTCACAGGAGATGAGTAGTGAAAATGTCGCTGAAGCATCGCGTGCCGTCTGTGTTGACCGAGTGGGCTCTGTTTCCGCTGCAGACGAGCTGAACTCTGCAATCAGACAGAAACTGGTGAGGGTTTTCTGACAAAAGGGAAACTATCACGCGCTCACGAGTCCGCCTCTGGCAAAAAAAATTAAGCTGTAAAAATTACGAAACTCATAACAGTTAAAAATATCAACCTTTGAGCAACAAATATGATAAATAAACGTCTTTAGTGTGGGTTTTATTGTGTTGACTTGTCTAGCCGTCATACATGTATGGTGGCGCACAGAAAACATGGATAAACATGACAACTCTATGGAAATTGGCCGCGACAACGATCGCTATCAGTGTAAAATGTATATATGTGTGTTTGTTTTTTATTGCATAACAAGAACAGTAACATAACACATATATAGAGGATCACAGTGTTTTACTACAAAAAAAAAACAATGGTTACTATAGTTAAACCATGGTAACTGTAATAAAACTGTGGTTATACAAATAGTAATCAATGCGCCCCAAAAAACATGGTTAATTTTCATAAGGGTTTGAACAAACATTCTTCCAGTAATGCTAATTTGTTCAGAGTTAACTGGTCTTTACTGATGTTCTCAAAATGGTACTGTTTAGTTGGACATTTTCTAAATGTTACTACTTAAGTCCAGAGAACATACAAAATAACATTCCCATAATGTTTGCATGCTTCCTTAACGTTTGTATATTATAAAAAAAAAACGTTTTAAATGTTCATAAAACATCCAGAAATAACGTTTTATAGCTTAATGACACATTAGCACGACTTTCTGAGAACATATTTTTTGTTAGATGGGATAAAGACAGAGAGTGTGTGAAATGGCATTGGCTTTAAAAGCCAAATAACCATTTTGACTTCCTTTTTATCAGTAACATTCATCTTTTTCTCACAGACGGCTGCAACACGTGTACTGTACAATAGTGGCCTAGGGCCCTCCTGCAAAGGAAAGAACCAAACCTCAACACTAGATGACGACAAGCCTCAAGTTCCTCTGTTAATGACTCATTAAACCACCAAAATGCTAAAGAAAACAGCCTATGTTGGTTTTTAGCTGTTCTCCCAGCCTCACTAAGCTCCTCTTCAGCTGGTTTTTCAGGAATACTTCAATTGAAATGCCATTGTTCCCTCTGATGCCACTTTGCTTACCAAAAGTATTTACGATAACAATAATTAAAATGATTATTTATTTGCATATTTTTTGTTTAAAACAAAATATTAGCAATTTTTTTTAAGCTAGACATGAGCAACAGCCACAAACAATATTTGTTCACACATAGATAATAAATATTATAGAGGTAAAACTGCTATCACATGGACCTTGATCGCACTGCTGATGATCATTTAGACAAGGCTGGGCACTTTTTCATGTAGCCAATGGAATTGCGGCACACCTGTTCTTCACAGGTGATGTTATAAGAGCGAGGTGCGCCCGTCACATTGACGCAGCGCTCTTTGCACTGTCATTACATAACCTCAGGAATCCAAGAATCCACATTCCATCCCAAAACTCAATACTGACAGAAGGGTTTGTTTATACACCCCCTACCTCTGAATACTCCGACACACACACATTCACCTAGCTGTACACATGGGGATATACCAGATCTAGAATATAAGGCAAAATGCAAACACAAATCCAAATCTTATTGCTAAAAGAAAACTTGAAAAAAAATCTGATTTATTAACTTACGTTATCCAGCAATTCTGGCCCCAAAGAATGGTTAGATTAGACACACGCAGAGAGACATCCCATAATCCTTATTTCTCACCCAGGTATGCATGCTCTTTCTCCTTGTAATGTAATACTGATCCTTGGCTTGACTAGGTCATGGTAAGATGGTAAGGTCATTCTCTCTTTTTTGTTGTAGAGATTGCCTGACTCAGGTTTGCCTCATTTACGTCTGTGCTTGATGCATGTTGTTCCATGTGCATGTGTCTGAAGTTTGTGCTTCGATGGAAATTTTAGGATTACATTTCTGTAAATGTTTGTGGTTACATGCACATTCTGATCTGTGTGTGTGTTCATGCTTTTGTGTGCTTGTCAGTGTGTGTTAATCAGCAGGAGCACAATGGGATTAGACAGAGAGCTTTTGGCCAAACAGGAGAGAGAGAAATGTTTAATCCTGAGTAGTCAGCTGACTGTAGAGAACAGGGTGTTACAAAGAATGTGTTGTTATTTTTGACTGAAAGTAAAACTATTAAAAATCGCTTTAATGAATGAAGTAAAGCATAAAATAAAAGTTAAATATTAAATGAAAAAAGCTAGAATGAAAATTAGAAATGTTGCCTTTAACTATATTTTTAACTTACAATAATATTCTAAATAATATTTAAAAATTGAATATTAAAAAAATTAAATATGAAATATTATTAATAATATTAACCGATAACTGACTAAACATTAATACTAAAATAGTATATAAATAATACTGAAACAACACAGGTTAATTTAGACTAAAATATTTTGGGGTTCACAAAATATAATTTTTTATTCAGTATTTTTGTTTCAATATGTTTGTTTTTCCTGTGAAGTCACCTCAGTGTTCTTAAAGATAAATTTAGTTGTTAAAATTGTGTAAAATAAATTTCTTACCCTTTCCTTTTTTTCTTTTCTGACAAATTGCTTTTATTCTTGTTTTAAGCAAGATTTATTAGATTGATGCATAATTATGAAAACTAAAATATATTAAATTAACAAATTAAATATTCTTTAAAAAGTCTAAACCTACAAAATTGTGCTTGTATTGTTTTAAGAATGTTTATTATTTTTCATTTTTCATTTTATTTTTTTTACTGAAAATGAAGACAAAAAGGTTCGATACAGTACATAAAAAACATGGAACAAGACTGATGCGCACACAATGAAAAAGAAAATGGTGGATGTTTTCACCAAATTTCACAAACAAAGAACCAGCAAGTAACACATTGAACTCTACATGAATTTTTGAAGTAGAAAATATTGAAATAGCATTTTCTTGTCAAACATATAGACATCGTATTTTCATGTAAAACATACTCAGAATCTCAGAAAGCTTTTTTGACAGTGCAGTCTTTGTACAGAGCTGCTTTCAAAGTGTGGGAGAAGTCACAGTGATGTTGTTTGATGAGACATCATGGGTGAGGTGTGAACGTTATATTAAGAAAGTGACAACTAAAAATACAAGATCTGCTGTTTTAGATGACTGACTCTACCTGTTTGATACACACGTGGGTAGAAGTTATGCGCTCAGGGGAGAACAGGGTAAAGCAAGCGAAACAGAGAAGGAAAGAGGGCGGGAGAGACGGGGAGGCTGGGCCGGCGAGAATGAATGAGAGGGAGGGGGGAGAACTTTGACACTAAGGGCCAGAGGACAGGTTTGCTAGACAGTAGAGGATTCAGAGAGAGAAAGACAGACTTTAGACTTCTGAACTTGTCGCTAACAACACGCCTGGCCCTCAGACAGAGGAAAAAGAAAGAGGTGAAAGAAGAATGAGAGAGTTGATTATCTAGAAAGGGTGCGTAACTTCTCTGTGACTGTGGTGGGATTGTGTATTTGGGAGCCCGAACTTTCGGATTCAGTCTGGATGGGAATTCCTGCTGTGCTTGTCAGATGGGGATTATTCCATGAACGGCTGGATCTCGTTACTGATAGCTGATGGCAATGACAGCCCTGTTCCGAATGTGGGGTCATAAACCTCAAGTGGTCCAGACCAAACCTCAGGTGCCAGTGGCCCATCTGCCCAGCGAGGATGACGATGATGACGATGAGACGTTGCCCGGCAGAGCTCCTATACGCAGGAATTCACGGTTTTACCGTTCAATGAGAAAGAAAAAGTTGCCGTCGTCTTCAGAACAACAAGAAAGTGAGAATTATATTATATGTATATGATATATATATATATAATTATATATATAATTTTAAATATTGAAAACCTCACATATACTGTTAAAACATGAATAAAAATGACAAAAGCACAAACATTTTTTTTTTAACAAATTAAATTGAAAACTAAAATATAAAATAAAAGCTAATTCAAAATAATAATAAATACTAAGGTAGTATATAATATATAATATAATAGTATATAATTACTTAATAATATATATATTACAGGAGTAACCTCTGTCATTTTAAAATCAGTAAAGCTTTTCCCATTGTTTGACTAATAACACACAAAGTATGATACTGAAATTGATATGTTTGCTGTATTAGCGTTGCCTAGCAAATGTAGTGTGTCTAAACAAAGTGATATATTGTTCCCTGTATGTTGTAAAACAGTTTACTATGGTTTGCATAGTAGCTCAACTGAATTAACCCTCTTCATTTACTTGTGTGACCTTTACTGTGCAACACTCTTTATTGGCATCTATAAAGGTTGCATGAAGAACACTCTAAAAAATGCTGGGTTAAATATAACCCAGCGCCAATGTTGGGGGTGACGCATTACAAGTAACGTAAGTTACGTAATCAGGTTACTTTTTTCAAGTAACTAGTAAAGCAATGCATTACTTTTTAATTTAGAAGGAAATATCTGAGTTACTTTTTCAAATAAGTAACACTAGTTACTTTGTTTCCCTTGACTGACAGCTCTCATGTTGCCATGTTGAGAAAAATGGGGAGTAAGTGCAGAGGCGTTGTGTGCGCTGTGATGTTACTGTAGTTCTAGATTAAATATGAACATTATTTACTCTTCTCACTGCACAAAAACAGATTCAGTATTCCTCAAAATGAATAAAAACAGTCAAATGCAAACTCAGAATATTATATAAACCTGCAATAATTAAATATGTTAAATTATATTAAATAAATATTAATATTAAATAAGACCTTCGATGATCTAATTCAACCATACTAATAAGCAAAAATGACACACTTGTTATTGCTGAATAATGCTGAACTTTCTTCTCCTGTGTCATATTCTTCATGCAATTTGTTTGAGCTGCGCCCTCTACTGTACAGACGTGAATTTGCATTTCCTTCAGCCTGAGGCGTATTCATTTCACTTCTGTTGTGAAAAGGGCTTTTACATTTGTAAAAGAAAAACGTTTTATATTAAAAACAAACAAGCAAGCCCTGACCAGATTTAAAAAGGAACGCAAAAGTAACGTAACGCATTACTTTCCATAAAAAGTAGTTACTTTTTTTAGGGAGTAACACAATATTGTAATGCATTACTTTTAAAAGTAACTTTCCCCAACACTGTCCAGCGCTGGGTTAAAAAGGGACAAACCCAGCTATTGGGTTGTTTTGACCCAGTTCAAAACAACCCAACCACTGGGTCAAAACAACCCAACCGCTGGGTCAAAACAACCCAACCACTGGTTCTTCTAATCTATGGCATCACTGTGAAAACCCCCTTTATTTTTAAGAGTGAAGATGAAACCAGCATCAAACATCAAAGCAGTTTTGTACAAGTATCAAAACTTAAGTACTGCTTCTTTAAGAAGTTGATGCATACTTTGACATTTGTTAAAGGGATTCTTTTGATTTTGATGCCTCTGATGAGTGACAGCAGTGATAGATCTGCCTGTCAAACAAGTCCTGGTCCTAGTTATTGCAAAAAAAAAACATTTAGTGTATTTAAATGGCTTGTACACAATCATGACTTGGCAAACCAATACTAGTCGTAGAAATTTTCTGAGAGAGAGAGAATGAAAGCGCATGATTTTGCCCTGCGGTAAATTGCAAAGCTGTCGAAACTCCAGAAACTGGTTTAATAGTTCAGTTTGTTTTTAATTGTTCTGAGAATTACTTGTGTGTGTTTTTATGAGCACATGAGCATCTTTATAGATGTTTGCATTACTGAGGCCAAATCGACCATTGTGAAGAATTTGAATGACAAAATGACCCAGTTTCCTTAGTTGTGGCTCTGTTGTTGAGTTTAAGCTCTGTAGATGTCAGGATCAAAGATGACACTGTGCTGCTCCTCCTGAATGCATTAGAAAGATGACAAATATAATAATAATGGATGACAAATATGTCAGTGTATTAGGTATTGCTACAATCAAAGACCTTTGCTTTTGTGTGATGGTACCTCTCCACATCAATAGGTGTCAGCATAAAGTCCAAGAGGACAAAGCTATCTGTTAGCATTTCTGTTTAACTCAATGATGGTAGCTCTTCTGGCACACAAAGGCCTAAAAGTACACAACCTTGGAAGTGACTGTCTTTGCTTCTTGGGTGTTCAGTTTTTGAACCCGTTACCTGAGCCATACATTACTCTATTAGACAGCAAACAGAGAAAACCACAAGCCAATTTCACCTCTTCTAAGAAATCTAAGCTGTGCAACTGACAACATCTCTGTGATTTATGTTTCAAAAAAATTTATTTCATCATGTGTCTGCTTTTGAATGGCTGTGAATTGAGGCTTTTTCCCACATGTTGTATTTATGGAATCTACCAGCAAAACAACACAGCAAGGTATATAGTAGTATAGTAGTAGTTTGATCTCCAACATCCTTGGAGTACAGACCTCCATATACTAGTTTCTTCATCACCCGCTAACACATTAAACCAAACGCTGTGTGAAGTCCTTGGCATGAGATATGCAATTGCTGCATACTTACAGTATATCAGCATCTGTTGCATTTTATGTGCCACGGTTAATGATTGTATGATGCATAGTGCCTCACCTGTTTTAAGTGGCTGGTCAAAAGAAAGGTCTAAATTCTGTATTTGAACATGTGCGTAAAGTGTCTCCAACATCCTTGGAGTACAGACCTCCATATACTAGTTTCTTCATCACCCGCTAACACATTAAACCAAACGCTGTGTGAAGTCCTTGGCATGAGATATGCAATTGCTGCATACTTACAGTATATCAGCATCTGTTGCATTTTATGTGCCACGGTTAATGATTGTATGATGCATAGTGCCTCACCTGTTTTTCCACAGAAAGCTGTTTTAAGTGGCTGGTCAAAAGAAAGGTCTAAATTCTGTATTTGAACATGTGCGTAAAGTCATTATCAAACGCATCTACTTTCTTTTGTCAAAGAAAATGAAACTTGATTTTTAATTAGGCTATCTAAAGAAAATGTCAGTGCTAAATTCTTTACCGTGATGCTATTATTATCTTAAATTGCTTTGTAGTCATCATTATTTTTAAAAGCTACTTTAAATAGCAGATTTGCAGTGTGAATTGTTGTTCATTTTGTGATAAAAAGGACAAAACTTTGTGTTCTGCTCATAGGAAGACACTAAAATCATTTAGAGATGAAAAGTTTTGAGCTCCTCATAACACATTAACATTAATGAAAGTAATAATATGCAGTTTGTTCAGTGACCCCTCTCAGAGTGTTCATTTAAAGGGATAGTTCACCCAAAAATGAAAATTCTGTCATTAATTACTCACCCTCATGTCGTTCCAAACCCATAAGACCTTTGTTCATCTTTTCTTTTTATTTTCGTTTTCTTTGTGCACAAAAAGTATTCTCGTAGCGTCATAAAATTACGGTCAAATGGACTATGGTCCTTACTAGCTTTCTGGGCCTTGAATGTGGTAGTTCCCTTGCTGTCTATGCAGGGTCAGCTATCAGATTTCATCAAAAATATCTTCATTTGTGTTCCGAAGATGAACAAAGGTCTTAAGGGTTTGGAACAACATGAGGGTGAGTAATGACAGAATTTAAATTTTTGTTGTTGTTGTTGTCTGTGAATTGAACCATGATTGCGCAATGTTTTTGATGAACCAAAAAGATCGGGCTCATAAGAGTCACTCGTGGTTGCACAATGTATTTTAGATGCACTAAAATAACCAGTTCATAAGAGTTCATACTCACAAATCTGACTACATTAGCTGTGGGTGTTTTTGATGAAGCAAAAAGAACTGACTGGTGTGTTTTTCTTCATGAAATGGAAATGTTTTCTAATCTCGGATACTATTTAGGGAAGATAGTATGCAAAATGTGATGTGGGATTGCGTGCAGCCTGCGAATACAACTCAATAAATAAAAAAAAAACGTTTATTATTATTTTGCGATACACGGCCGTTTTACCCCAACACGTTCAATTAAACATGGATAAAAAAAATGGATAGTTATTGTTCATTTTTACGTGACGCTGTAGATTCAGCATTGCACTGATTATGTGTTCATCATTGCAAAACTGCAAAATTCTCGCGCTCTCTGCTCTGGTGGTGTTTGATTTTTGCAGTTGTCTGTGACTGTTGCGTGTGTGTGTGTTTGTGAGTGTATAAGACTGTGAATATGTGCTGTTCTGGAATTTGTCACTTTTTTATTCACTGACTGTTTGGTGTGAATATGAATAGTCAGAGGGTGCGTGTGAGAATGTGTCTTTCGTTGTCAAAGGATTTACTCCACTGCTAATGTTAAAAGTAAATGTGTTTGTTTTGTAATGCCTCATAAGTTAGTGTAAGTGCAATGTACACAGTCTGTATGGTAATCCCCCAGTCTTACTGTACAAAGTCTATGCAGTGTTGTCACCCTTACATACGTGAACCAGGAAACAAGTCTCTCTGACAAAAAGTTAATATTTTAAAGACCTACATTGTTGTTATTTATTGATATGGAAAGTCCACAACAATAAAACAAGTTGGACTTTATATGCTACGTAAAAAAATAAAAAAATAAAAAAATTTAAATATATATATATATATATATATAATCTGACAATACCAGTAAATATCAAAAAAGTCTAGCATTTTTCATGATCTTGAAACATTTGACCTTTATGATTCATGCTTTGTAGACAAATATAATTTTTTATTTATTTATTTGTGTGTGTGTGTGACCCCGAGTGTCCAGTAAATGTTTAGTGAATGTCCAGAATGTAAGGTAAAATAAAAGATAGTTTAGAATTTTTGGTCATAACATTATTCCATTTGTATAATTTCATAGTTTTGAATATTATTCCAAAATGTGCAAACTAGTCATAATAATGACTAAGTAAGTGTGTTTAACTTTTGATTGGTGGTGTATATTATATAAAATATGACTATGTATTATATAAAAGGGCAGTAATGCATCACATCTGAACTATTGAATGTTACATAACATGACTATTTTTTCAAAAAAGTCTAGACTTCTCGGTCTAGCAATAGCGTGTACTATAGGTAGTCATTGTACCATATGTTTTGCTGATTTGTTCAAACAATGCAAAACACACACTTTTTGAACTTGTTATACATCATCGGTTTCTCTCAAATTGCAGTGCCCGCTGGGGAAACAACCCCATTCACTGTTGATTGCTGCTCCAGATCTGGTGACACTGTTGGAAACTGGGTTTAAAGCAAATTATTAACCAATGTACAGTGTGACTGTAAAATAACTTTAGTGTCACATTGTGGTGTGACAAACTGACCCCGATCTAGTCTGTCCTTGTTTTTTAATCTGTATTTTAGGAGTTCTTCTTTGGGCTGACCTCAGTTTGAACTCTCAGCCGTGAGGTTGGTTAGTCAGTCAGGTGTGGTTTGAACCTCAGATCGAGTGCACATAGACGAGGAACTGGGATCTGCTGGATGAAGATTCCCATGACACAAGACAACAGTCTGTTGCATATATTAATGAAATATGCTCATCTGGTTTAATTTGGAAAAAGCTAGTTGGACTTTATGGTAAATTATAAAATTATATTTTTAACTATATTTTTTATTAACATTACTAAATATTTATATACTTTTTAATTTTATTCAAAATTGTATATTTTAATAAGATAAAATCATATTAATGCAAAAAAATAGTAATAATAATAATAAACAGTCAAAAAATATTATAATAATAATGAAGGAGGGATATACAGTATATTTTTTCAATGTATTTTTTCAAGTTTAATACTTGGTAGAGTTTTGTTCAAGTCCCTAACCCTAAGCAACCCTGAACAATAGTAATAATGCTGCTTGCATATTATGTTCACAACTAATATAAGAGGCTAGAATATTATAAAGCAGCAGTGGAATTCATAGCAGTTAAAGAGTCTGTCAAGTGCTCAACAGAGTTTTATTGAAGCATGATTCAATATTTATCTAAGGAGTCTGACAAACATGCTGTGCAATCTCCCTGATCACACCTAACTCATGATCCAGACACACAAATAGCACACTACACCGCATATGACTGTCTGCCATTCGTGTAGACTGAGTGAGCAGAAAGCCACTTGGTCAAGAGAGCAGCTAAGGAAAACAGTGTAAGGAGGTAATGAAGCATTTCGGATGCATCCTTTGTTCGTGAGACTTCAGAATTTGCAGAGGAGACAAATTCAGGGGGAAACTGAACAGACTACCTCAGCAGCGACACACGCACACAAGTTCCATTTGAGGCCCCAGTTACACATTCCTGTGCCCACAAAGTTTCAGGCAGCGCAGCCAGCATTCACAATGGGCCCTCTGTATTTATATACGAGTGTGTGTGTGTTTGATGTGTCAGTGTGTATTTGTGTGAATGTGTGTGGTAACAAGTGAATGACCAGTATGTTGTTTTGCTTGTAATGAAGTACTTTCTCTGGCAGTCAGATTCATCATCTCAATAGTTTTTAGTGAAACAATCGGTCACTAATACCATATAATATGTACTTCTCATACTATGTTTTCCTTCTTATAATTTTTTTTTGTAGTCTCTTACTTGTGCCCGTCTCTGGGACTGTCATGCAAGATAGATTGAAATCAATTCCATTTTGTTCTTCTATTCCATTCACATGTGTTCAAGCTCATTTTATTCTGTTCATTTATTTTTCATTAACCTAAGCCACTCCCATTCTCTCCATCAGGCCCCTCCTCTTCTCCTAAACAAGCAATGGACCCCGCCTCCTACAACAGGCTCAGCCCCTCTGCGGCAAATCGACTTCCACACTCTCCCAGAATGCATCAGTGAGTGCACACAAACACATATCTATCTATCTATCTATCTATCTATCTATCTATCTATCTATCTATCTATCTATCTATCTATCTATCTATCTATCTATCTATCTATCTATCTATCTATCTATATCTGTATATATGTCTGTCTGTCTGTCTATGATAGTTATGAGGTGTTTGTGTGTGAGTTATCGTCTTATCGTCTTTATGATTCAGTTTGATGTGTCAGTGTGTATTTGTGTGAATGTGTGTGGTAACAAGTGAATGACCAGTATGTTGTTTTGCTTGTAATGAAGTACTTTCTCTGGCAGTCAGATTCATCATCTCAATAGTTTTTAGTGAAACAATCGGTTTTACTTGTCACTAATACCATATAATATGTACTTCTCATACTTTGTTTTCCTTCTTATAATTTTTTTTTGTAGTCTCTTACTTGTGCCCGTCTCTGGGACTGTCATGCAAGATAGATTGAAATCAATTCCATTTTGTTCTTCTATTCCATTCACATGTGTTCAAGCTCATTTTATTCTGTTCATTTATTTTTCATTAACCTAAGCCACTCCCATTCTCTCCATCAGGCCCCTCCTCTTCTCCTAAACAAGCAATGGACCCCGCCTCCTACAACAGGCTCAGCCCCTCTGCGGCAAATCGACTTCCACACTCTCCCAGAATGCATCAGTGAGTGCACACAAACACATATCTATCTATCTATCTATCTATCTATCTATCTATCTATCTATCTATCTATCTATCTATCTATCTATCTATCTATCTATCTATCTATCTATCTATCTATCTATATCTGTATATATGTCTGTCTGTCTGTCTATGATAGTTATGAGGTGTTTGTGTGTGAGTTATCGTCTGGTGTGATTTATGATTCAACTCTGTATCGTATGATTTTCTCAGGATGAGAGATGTTTGTCTGTGTGTGTGGGTGGAAGAGTTTTGAGTTGAGAACTGAAGGTATGTGGGTGACTTTGTGTTTGGGCTTAGCTCTGTTTCTGTTTGAGTTCATGTGGTCAGCAACATGCAGGTTCACTATGTGCTTGTGTGTTTGTAGAGGACACCGTATCTCTGAGTGGGGATTCGATCTTTCAAGAAGGCTATGAATTTCTTCAAACCTCTCATTATTTAAATATTAACAATATTTATGTATTTTTATCAGTTCACCTTCTCGCTCTGGAATGTCGTTGCCAAGCAACGGGATTACTGTGCTGGGAGGAGTTCGCTCTCGGTCTCCGTTGGCGACGCCAGGAGGTTGGCCGCGTAGACAAGAAATGGAAGAGCTGAGTGAACGGACAACAAGTGCCTGCACTATGCAGGACAATGACACCACTGCCGACCCTGACAACATCACACTCCGGTAAGAGAGACCGACAGAGTTGAAGTTCATTTGTACTTTTTTTTTTAATCTATTTTTCTAAAATCTATTTTTTTTCAGTGTGTAACTTGAATAACTTCATAGACTGTGTGCCTTTTTATATTTATAAACAGTATTTGCATGTCATGTTTATATGTAACTGAAATTTTTTTTTATCAATTAATAATTGTACAATAATTATGCAAAAATCAGATACTTGTAGTGACTGAATGCCAGTTTATCTACCCATGTTTGAAAATATGTGCATGCAGTATTTTGTATATTTATGCAAAGTTGCATGTATATAGCTTATTTATGCATTTACGTTAGCTTGTACAGTATGTTTGTGTTTGTCGTTTGCATGTGGGCACATGTGCTGTATGACTCAAATACTACTCACACGACTCTGCTGATGGATTTGACTTATTTAGGTCTGTCAGGTTTAAAATGTAATAAAGCTAAATGAGAATTAAAAATGTGAGGAAGCAATATTCCCCTCATTTAGAAACACAAGTAGGACTTAAAACAGCTGTAGGGTGTTTTGAGAGTGGGCTGACATGTTCTCATTTTGGTACACACACACAAATATATAGCCACACACACACGTTTCCTCTTATCTCTGCTAGTCACTGATTATTAGGGTTTTTTTCTCTTTCAGGCTGGTGAGGAATGGTGACAGTCCGCAGAAGATGGCAGTAGAGAATTCCTGCCGCAATCTCAACATTGTGAAGAGAGTTGGTGAGTGAAAACACACACATGCACATGCAGGAAGAGAGGGAGACTGATGTGCTGTAACAATGCATGCTAATTTGTTTGCCTCAAGTTGAACCGTGTAGGCAACTTTATTTGCAGTTGAATTTGCAGCATGGATGTGCTGGGTTGTGTATGAGACGCATGTGTGTGTTAGTGGATGTAGGATGAAGGCAGGTGGAGTGTGTGGGTGATGTCTTTTTAAATATATGCTGGAATAACAGCAAGAGAGAGTTATATGCTTTTTTCGCCAACGCAACATCATTTTATATCATCTCTATTTCCCTCATCATTTGTCTATTTCTCTCTCCTGTATCTGCATCCAAGTCTTTCTTTTCATCACTTATTTTCCACTTCCTTCCTAAGTTCTCCTCCTCTTTCTTTTGTAGCTTCTTCTGTCAACATTATATTTCTTTTTCTGTTTCTCCATTGTATGCTCTTCTAATTTCTTTGCTCATCTCTTCTCATTTGGTCTCATTTATTGTTCTCATCCTGTCTTTTGTGGTCCATTTTCTTGTTGTTTCTCATCTCTGTCATCTTCTCATCTATTCAATTGATTTTGTCTTATCTGTTGTCATGCCTTGTTGTCATTTCAACAAGACACAAGACATTTTTTTCTCATCACCATGATTTCTCATAATTTTAGTGCCTGCATCAGTTCCTGTACAGCAAACCCCCCCCCCCCCCCCCCCCCCCCCCCACACACCAAAAAAAAC